TTCTTTGAGCCGTCGGGCACGCCGTACATTCAAACTCGGCACGACTGGCTACATGTAGTGGAAGACTACTGCAACTTTACAGTCAAGGGACGACAAGTGTCGAAAGCCATTGAGTGGATGGTCTGGTCGAAATGTACTGTACATACATATGACCCCACATGGAAACACACTTGGCTACATGAGAAGGCCACGTTTTTCTTAACCTCATTGCCATGATGGTTGTATTTCTTGGTGGTTGCCCACGCTGCAAACTGTTCAGTCGAAACGGGTGTAACCATTCTGTAACTGTCTGACTACATAATCAGGACAGGTGCCCGTGTTCAATCCTCACAAACGCAGGCAACCACGATGACGCCTGCGGTTGCCTTAGATTCTAGCGTTAAGACCATTCCTAGCTCGCAGTTTAGCCGATGCCATAGCGCTTCACAGCGAGAAGAAGTGCCGGACAGTTGCTTTTAACCTTATTTGCAGTTGTTGCATAAGTATGTATATCCGTTCGAACCTGTCACTTTTTATCCGGATTCCAATATCACTCTCCACGATCTGCAACAGTGTGCAATCCTAACCAAATACTTCGAAGTATGCGCCAGTTGCTTGTGGTGACCATGGCGACACTGACGTCGGCACTTGCATACAACGAACGCACCACCGTCCATTTGGTCTTCAGCACAGGCTGCGACCAAACACACCGGCAATTCCTGTCGGCGAGTCTCCAGCTGTCCTTGGTGCGAGTGCAACATGTGGGGCCGTTGACCGAGATCATCTCTGGCTGTTCGGCCGAAAAGCAAGCGTCGATCCAGGCCCAGGCAAAGTACTACCCCGACTACCGACTGCACTTTACAAGGGACTATGCCAAGTACGAAAGTGTTAACTTCACCGAGCGTTACGACCCGTACAACAAACCGTTTGGCCTCCGCGACTTTCTCCATCACAGCGCCACCCCAGACAACTTAGCCGTGGCCTTCATCGACGCCGACTACATGCTGTTCAAGCCCCTGCGCATCAACACAGGGGCCAAGTGGGCCAAGTACTACCAGAACACAACCCTGCGGCGCGCCGAAGACATCAGCGACACGGTCGAGAACGGCGTCGCATTGGCGCAGAACATGAAGGCGTTTCTAGGCGGGCGATGGTACAACGACATCAATCGCACGATACTGAACCTCGTATGTGGCGACAATCCTTGTGCGTCCGTGTCCAGTGCCGACGCGTTCGAGTTCTTTGAGCCGTCGGGCACGCCGTACATTCAAACTCGGCACGACTGGCTACATGTAGTGGAAGACTACTGCAACTTTACAGTCAAGGGAAGAGAAGTGTCGAAAGATGACTGGATGGTCGAGATGTACGCGTACGGAGCTGCCACTACCAACCACAACGTCAAGCACACGCTGTTGCAGCACCTAGGGCCAGCCACCCCAGAGTTTCTGAATACAGAGTACTGGAACTTTATCGAAGAAGACATGGACAATCCATGCTTGGATCCGTTTGAAGTGGAACTGCCATTCGACCCCCCCGTTGGCATCCACTACGCCATGTACTATGGCCTCCCCGACAAGATCGATGCCGGCTACATGTACTACAAGTATCGCATTCCCAAAGATATTTTGAAGTGTGATAGCCAGCTCTTCAAACTCCCCCCGCCTTCCGAGTGGACCGACATTGACCGGCTATACAAAGACGACCCGAAGAAGCGGCAGTGGAAGCGCCATGCTGTGTGGCTCCAGTGCACGTTGATCAAGTATGGCAACCAGGTGCTACAGACCATAAAGGAAAGGATGTGTCCACTTGGATTCAACTCCCATCAAGGCATTGTCTTGCATGCCAAGGACACACCTGCCACCGCCTTCCCAACCCCGTGATATACGATCTACTGGCTAATAATACATACACTAGTCCACACTTGTTCTAATAGGATTGGGCGGTTGCTGGGGTTGTGTTTACTTTGAAATTGAGATCGAGGAGCTTATCGTTAGGCAGAAGTACATTGTCCTCCCTCAACCAGATACCGCCCCTCTATTCTGAAATGTTGTTGGGCTAGGAGTCAACTGTACGGCACGTGTCTTCTCACTTAACATACACACTGCCGAATGCTTAGTGTAACAAAGCGACGTCCTCTGGACGACTGGACGGATGGTAGATCGGTATATTTCCAAAGGACTAAGTAGTGTATTCCACACAAGATCCGGTGGAAGGTGCTAACAGAACAGGCCATCGCCGCATGCCCCACCACCCCCCAGCACTCAGACATCCAACGTTCGATGTATGCGAAGTCCGCTAGTTGTAGGCGCAAAAGATTCCTTAGCTAGCTGATAAACGCGAATAAACGACACTATGTATACATGTGTAAGTAGTGTATTCGAAAATCTCCTTGACCATGTAGCCTATTGTAAAGTGAAATCCCCAATGAAGCGAAGCGTATACCGGTCGCTGCTGACATGACGGTCTAGCCCTTCAATACAGCTGTAGAGTCGTTTAGCAAGGTAGCTAGCTAATGTGCCGTAGGATACCGGAACTCCCCTGAAAACTTTCTTGGAAACGAACCATAGCTATACATGTAACGTTACCGCGGCGTGGAGCTCCTTTTATGTTAGTGTGCACGCCTTTTACCATTGTAGTAGCTGTCATCTATGACCCACGCCCATGGACTTTACAGCTCCACTGCCAACGCATATATGTGTTGCATAACGCAATATGCATTGGATCAACAAGCTGTTCATGTACTCGTGCGTCAGTTTGCTCGCGATGGCCCAGGACGAACCGTTGCACCTCTGCGCGTCGGGCACAGTCCAGCTAGCCCTCTCTGCTGTCTTGTCGTCCCCCCACGTCGTCAAATGTGCAAGCGCCGTTGGTAGGTCCAACCATGTCCGCCCCGTATTGCACCTTTCCCCCTAAGCTCAGGGGGGACTTGTAGGCATATCCCCAGAGTCTCTAGTCAAGGGCGACAGACTCACCAGTGCCCAAGTCGTAGCCTTCCGCGAATCACCGTCATGCGCTGCGTACCACGAGCGCATGATGGAAACCCTGCAGCGTATATACCCTGCGTGTGTCGATAGCACTTCGATGGTATCCACAACGAAAATGGGGGCGACGACGTTTGCCCAGCGTGTGAAGAGCCTCACCTCCTAAGGCCTTCTACCACTCACCATAACACTTGTTGTCGTGACGATCGTGCTATCTTATACTTGTAAGAAACGTATTGCGTTTGAGTCGCCCGCGTTCAAGCTGCAAGTCAAGTTGATGTTTGTCAATAACGCTAGGCGACTTGAAAATAATCTTTCACACACACACATATACTAGTACTTTATTGGGGCCACTTCAGCATATAAAAGCTAATCGTTCGCCAAGACTACCGTTTGCCATGCTTATGCCCGTGGCTGTGAATCCAACGCCATGTACTGTACATGGCGTAATCACTAATGTCATCCAGATCTAACGCCGACTTGTTTTCGTTTTTGTACGCGCCAACTTGGAGAACCGGTTACTATCCTGCCACGTATGAAGGTGGGCATGTCGCGTGGGGGACTCATGCGACGTGGTGGGAAAGTCTAAATTGTGTGCATCCTTGACAACCCCATAGTCGCGGGTGCAGTGGTTGATGGCAACGTGCCCCGCGTACATGGAGAGGACCCCCACATGCCAATTCGGCCAACCCTTGATGCCGTATTCAGGGCTCTTCTCCTCGTCCGTGAATTCGTTTGCATACATGTACATTTGGACGTCCATGGACAGCTGGGCGCATTGCTGTACGAGAGCAGTGGGGCCGTACCAGGTCGAGCCAACGTTATCCACCGTTTTCGCGGTCAAGTTGAGCTGGACGATGATGGCGTCGAGGCGGTCGTTA